AAGAAGAGTTTCTAGGAAAAGACATGATCCACCTGATGAAGTGAGGGATGAGCATCTTCACAGACAGGCTTGCTAACTTAGTGAGGAGGGCTTTAAATTAGGTTTGCTGGGGGATAGAGACCAAAGACCTGAGGTTAGTGGGGAAGTGGGTGACCTGGAGGAAGGACAAGCAGGAGGGCTTTCTCATTCTTGCTGAATGTTAGGGCAACCAGTTAGTTATCTCAAGTGTCCGTACACAAATGCACGGAGCCTGGGAAACAAGCAGGAAGAATTTGAAGTCCTCACACAGATACAGAACTATGACGTGATTGGAATAACAGAGACCTGGTGGGAACTCACATGAGTGGAGCGCTGTCATGGATGGGTACAAACTGTTCAGGAAGGACAGGCAGGGGAGAAGAGGAGGAGGAGTTGCACCTTATATAAAAGAGCTACATGATTACTCAGAGCTCCAGTAAGAAACTGGAGACAGGCCTGTTGAAAGTCTCTGAGTTAGAGTCAAAGCGGAGAGCAACAAGGGTAATGCCATGGTGGGTGTCCACTATAGACCACCCACCAGACTAGGAGGATGAGGAGGATAACGCTTTCTTCAACAGCTAGCATAAGTTTCCTGATCACAAGCCCCGGTTCTCAAGGGGGACTTCAGTCACCCTAACATCTGCTGGGAGGGCAATAGAGTGGTACACAGGCAATTCAGGAAGTTTTTGGAAAGTGTTGGGGAGAACTTTCTGGTGATAATGTTGGAAAGCCAATGAGGGGCCATGCTCTTCTTGATCTGCTACTCACAAATGGAAGAATTGGTGGAGAATATTGAAATAGATGGTAACTTGGGCAGCAGTGACCATGAGATGATTGATTTCCAGATCCTGAAGAAAGGAAGGAAGGAGAGCAGCAGAGTAAGGACCTTGGACTTCAGAAAAGCAGACTTAAATTCGCTCAGGGAACTGATGGACAGGATTCCCTGGAAGGCCAATCTGAGGGGGAAAGGAGTCCAGGTTGTATTTTAAAGAAACCTTAGTGAGGGCACAGGAATGAACCATCCTGATGCGCAGGAAGACTATCAAGTATGGCAGAAGACCAGCTTGGCTTAGCAAGGAACTCTTCAATGAGATAAACACAAAAAGGAAACTTACAAGAAGTTGAAACTTGGACAAACAACTAGGGAGTAGTATAAGAGTATTGCTCAGACATGCAGGGATGAAATCAGGAAGGCCAAAGTGCAATTTGAGTTGCAGCTAGCAAAGGACATGAAGGGTAATAAGAAGAGTTTCTATCATAGAATCATAGAATCATAGAAGTCGGGTCGGAAGGGACCTTGTAGATCTTCAGGTCCGACCCCCTGCCTGGGCAGGAAGAAAACTGGGCTCAAATGACCCCAGCCAGGTAGGCATCGAGCCA